ACACAAGATCCAAGTTTTGTGAGCTGGAACTCATTTTCTTCTTCATTTATAGAGTGTACAGTCACTTCCTGCATATCTCTGATCAACTTCATCTTGAGGTAGGATGACAGGTTCACTGCAGAGCGAATGCTTAGTGGATGCTCCATTGTAGTCCTGAGTTTTGGTCCAAGCTGTTAGAAAGAATATGCACAGATCCGAGGGATACATTAAATTTGTGCTGAGGAAACATAAAAAACATTAAAAATTTAAAATGTTCCATTTAATAAATCATTTAACCAAAAAGCACCTGTTTTAAAAATCTTTGCCCTAAAAAAAAAATCTCAGTTTTCTGAAAATAAAGCATAAACAAAACTAAAAAAAAAAAAAAAAAATAAAAAGAACCTTTGCTATAAAACATTTAATTCTTAAAAATAACACCCCATTAAAAAATGACCCACATCTACAGCTTTAAAAAGGCTGTAGAGTTAAAAAAAAATGTCACAATTGGAAGTCCAAGCAGATACAAATCATAAAAATAAAACCACAAAAAACTGTTTTCTTCCTTCTTATGAAAAAATCCCTACAGCTTCAACAAAAAAAAGTTCTCTCTCCAAAAATAAACTAAAAAAAACTAAGCTAAAAACTAATTATTATATGTTTGTTTTGTTATTATAAAATTTTTTTAAGTAGTCTAAAAAATCTTATTCTAAATTTATTTTTTCCCTTTGTTTGTAATACATTTCTTTTTTATACCCTCTTAAGTTTTAAGCCTGCCTTACCTTTAGTCCTAGTTGTCTCACAACAAAAAATAAATATATTTAATTTAACAAATCAAAACTAAAACATTATTTAGTGAGTTAGACAAAAAAAAATTAAATCAAAACATTTTTTAAAAAATTAAATTAAACCAAAACACACAGGAAACAATTGGAGCTTTACCTGCTGTTCTGAAAGTTAAAATTATTAAAAGTGGAGAATTAAGGTTGTCACATACACTGTGCAGTAAGGGATTCCCACTTGTCATCTTGTGTTCAATACTGGATTACTTTTAAAAGTCAATGTCATTACTTAATTCACTATCACTCTATGTGCTTCTTTCTGGGTCTTTAAAAACATGGACATTTTGTCTTTATAATATCAATTCACTAACTTCAACAAATGCTAGTGACCTACAGAGAGGTTCTTTTTCAACCAGTCTTTACCAGTGCTAAACAGTTCACCTTTTGAGGAATTATGTATATTTGGGGGTTATTTTGGTCCTCCAAATATATGAATGCAAATTACCACATGATTTAAACAATTTGAAACAAATTATTAGCACTGATATGACATGAAACCATTTTGAATGTCAAATAAAATTCTTCCACAAATTCAGCAGAGGCCTAAAGGATTGTTAGACCCTGCAGAAATTTGTTTTGTCAGAAAATGTTAGAATATCACTCGTCTGTATTTATCAAAGAATTTGTTTCTCACATCTGTTTGCAGCGTATGAATGGCTTGCATTAAATCCTAAAAAGACAAACCCAAGTCATTCATTATCAATAAGACAACTACTTATCAAGCACTTTAATAAAGTAATCCTATACTACTAAATCCATATTTTTCTTTTTGGGAGTAGATTTTTAAGTTTTACATGCTGGTAATACATTAATGACTTATTAATATATTGATAAATACTTAATAACTATTTATTAAAAGCTGTGGGATATAATGATTACCGGTAATTAATCACATATATTTAAAACACCTATTGCAACTCAGCAGTGAAGATACTTTTCAATACCATTCATCTGAGTGCCTTGCAAGTAAGCATCTTCACAATTTTAGTAATGAAAAGTATTAGTTAATGTATAATCCACCAGAAATATTCAAAAGGTCCAGCCGGCTTGAGGACAAGAGTAATTCTCTACCCTAATCTTTGCTACCAATCAAAAGGCCCATAAAATGAATTATGCTTACAATTACTATGCATGGCCATTAGCAGTTGTTACAAATTCATGCATCAAACAAACATATACTCACTGAAACACTGGTAACTTTATCACCTTGACAATTACAAATATGCCAGAGGATTTACAGCATGAGAAAACCTCAGCCAAATCCCTCACTACAGGGATAGATTTTAGCATATGTGTTTGATTGATTCTTATGCACATAGAAAAAGGATACTGAATTATTTCAATAGACTTGCTTGATAGACTTGATAGGCTTAATTTGACATGCCTCTGTGCAGGTTTTGGCTGGAGAAGTTTTCTTCACAATGGTTGATTTGGGTGTCATGTTTGGATTTTTGTGCTGAACACAGGGTTGATAATGATGGTTTTGTTGGTGCTGAGCAGGACTTACACAGAGCCAAGGTCTTCTCTGCTTCTCCTGCTGCCATGAGGGTATGGGAGCACATGGTAGGAGACAGAGTCAGGACAGGTCACCCCAACTGACCAAGGAGATATTCCAGATCATATGGCATCATGCCCAGACAATCTGGGAGGAAGAAGGAGGAGGAGGAGAGCCTTTGGAGTGATGGTGTTTGTTTTCCCAAATAACCATTACACATGATGGGGCCCTGCTCTCCTGGAGATGGCTGAATATCTGCCTGCCCATGGGAAACAGTGAATTAATTCCTTGTTTTACTTTGCTTGTGTGCACAGCTTTTGCTTTCTGCATTAAACTGTCTTTATCTCACGAGTTTTCCAGTTTTTGCACTCCCAGTTCTCTCCCTGATCCCACTGGTGGGGAGTGAGCAAACAGCTGCATGAGGCTTCGTTGATGTCTCATGTGATGTCTCACAGCAGTCTCTCATGACGTCTCTTAATTTCTCATAACATGGAGTATATACAAAGTGTACAGAGGTGAATAGACACACTGGTGAACTGTCGTTTTTAGACATTCTTGGTTGTGTGAATATCCCTACTCTTGGTATTGTTAGTGATGTACTTTTAACTGTTAGATTGATCTATTTGTGCATTTGCCCTGTTTCCTACATTTAATAGATTTGTTATGATTAAAACAAATGCAAGACATGTGAAGGTTTGTTACTGGAAGGTCAATAATAAAAATATCACTCACAGAACTGTTTCCGTGGCTTCTCTAGCTGCAGCAATTTTCTGCTGTTGTTCTTTTTTTCAGTACAATCAAATGTGAACAAGCTTCTGGTACAAATTCAAAGCTAATTGCAGAGAAAGGTAAGTTTGGGGCTAGAGACCAATTATAGCTCATATATCAGTCAGGAGAAGAAGTTTTTGTTTGACAACAAAATTCAATGTTTTGAAACACTGGGACAAAAGTGAGACAAAACTGAGACAAAGCCACACAAATACTTAATTTCAAAATGCTAAACAATTCTCTAAAGGAATCATCAAATCTAGCTGGCAGTGGGCAGAATGCAAGCTATCTTAAATCACTCTGCATTCCCCAAGACCCTTGTCACTTACCATGTCCACTCTTTACCTCAAGATGGCAATGAGCTGTAACATTCCACTACCACACCAAAGTGTCTAATTTAGGTATATAAATTATTAATCATCATTGTCATTTTCATCACTTATAGAATGATAGCTGGCTGGTCCTTAGGCCAGGTCAGCATAAGAGCAAAGAAGTCACGTGTTTCCATACTTGCATAAGCATGTGCTTTGAAACAGGCTCCTCCTGCTGATTTACAGGTTACGAAGCCCTGGTTGCAACACCATTCCTCACCGATGCTGTTCACCTTGAAATGTCATCATAACAAGCAAGCATCTTCCCTGGTTTGTTTCATAACCAAGAATTCCTTGCTGACTCATTTCAACTTCCCTTCACCATAAGCTGCTGCTTTTGCCATGTAATTACTGATTTCAGCATAGGACACTTGGAGTTAGGTTACCCACCTATTTTGCATTTCTTGGCACCTTGTTTGGAACTACAGCTCACTGAGGCTTTGAGATCTGCCTTCATCCTCCATGCGGGTATTTCAGCTTCCCCTTTTGCTGACACCTAAATAGAATATTCAACAGTTAACTGTGCATGGAAATATATCCCTTCTATACAACTGTTTACACTGACAGAGTACAGTTTTCCATCATATTTCTTGGTGTAAATTACATCAAATCTTGTGAGCTATCATTTTATCTCAGCTTGTGAGAAAAATATCTTATGAATCCCCATAAATTGTAGTCTGAATGGTGTATACAACACAGATATGTACATCAAAGCACACTGTGAATTTATTCCATTTTTTTCCTTTTATGACTTGCCAATAAACAAGACCTCTAATGTAACTCATTTGAAATGCAAAGGACACCAAATAAGTAACAGATAAGTTCTCTTCATTGCCTTTTTACATAAACAGTGTATGGAAGATGTTATGGTGATTGAGACAAGTTGATGTCACAGGAGAAGCACATTCTTACAGACCTAAGTATGCGAGTGGCTTTCTATTCAAAAATATTGATGATACAGTGGTGTGGGGCTGCAGTTTTAGAGTTGGATAACGCATGTCTGGGAAACTGAGGACACACAAAAGTCATTTTAAAGGTGTGAAATGATAATCAGGGGATTCGCTGATTTAGGGCGCGCATTTATGATTATCATCTTTTGCTCCCACCCGGGCAAGCTGGAGAACAATAACTTATTCTATAAATTAAGAAGTGTTTAAGTTTGTACGTCCAGCGAAGCAGCAGCAGCACAGGGAGGAGAAAGCACTTGCCCTCCGATCCCCGGCCGGGTGGGATGGAGCGGCCAGGAGGGATAGAGCCAGCAGTGCCGGCCGGGCACGGGAGGGCTACCGAAGCAGCAGCAGCAGCAGCAGTGTGATGTCCCGACGTGGAAGAGGGCGCTGCCGCCCCGCAGGTGCCCTGGGAAGCCTCCCAGGCTGGGTTGGTGCCCTGTGCCTCAGAGCCGGGCGGTCCCGCACCCGCCCAGCCGGGAAGCGCCGCCCGCCCGGGCCCGCACCCCGCACCTTCCCGGGCCGCCCCCGCCCCCGCACGGAGCCAGGTCCTCGGGAAGGGCTGGGCAGGGCCGGGCCAGCCCTGCTCCGGCGGGCAGGAGGGTGCGGGACAGTCGGGAGCCGGCGGTGAGTGCGGCGGGAGCGGGCGCAGGGAAGGGGCGAGGATGTGACTGCTGGGGCAGGGCCGGGAGGGGCCAAGGGGCCGCAGCCGCGGGGGACGGGACAGGACGGGACGGGTCCGATCCGATCCGCCGAGACCGTGCGGGAGCTTCTTCTCCTGAGCCTCTCCTGTCCCGTCCCGACCACTGTAAAGGGAGCGGTGCTGCCTAACGCAGGATGAAAACCAGCGCTCCCCAGCGCCAGGGCCAGGCTTTTCCCAGTTGCTGGCAAATGAGAATACGTGGTGTGATTCCGGCAGCGCGGCACTGGAAAATACGCAAGGTGTGGGAACCTGGCTTCCGAAACAGGTCACGTTTCCTGCGAAGGAGGACAACCCTCCTAAGGTTGATATCGCACCACTGTGTTCAGTACTTTTTTGTTCTTCTAGCATCACCTTGCTGTGAAAACAAAGTGCTCTACAGCTATTGCCGCAACATGCCTGCCTAAAATCAGTATTACTAAATGTTTTTAAAGACAGAGTTGGAAGCTGAGGAGTCCGGGATGAAACCGGTCCATAGGATCTAGAGGAAGACATTTGCTTTAATCCTTCTAATACTAAGGCAGCTTTCACAAAACAAGTCTTTAATAATGTATTTTTTACCCACACAGAAGAACACTGCCAAAGAACTTGGTGTTTGAAGGTCAACCTCTCCTTTCCTTCAGTCAATATCCCACTGCTGCAACATATTGTGTTCTGGGTTTGCACAACAGGACAGTGGTGCTTGTATCTGAGAAATTATGTTCAACTTCAGATGCATCCAGAAGTTACTACAGTACCTGAAATTATTTTTTTTTTTACTTACTGAGAACATCTTCTGTGTATTTTCTCTACCCAAAAAATATTTTGCTGGTGAAATAGTGCTTATTACTGGCTCTGCAAATGGGATTGGAAGGCAGGTTGCCTTAAAATTGGCTCCTTTGGGAGTAACCTTGGTTCTTTGGGACATTGATGATGAAGGTAACAAAGAAACAAGCAGATTAGCCCAACAAAAAGGAGCCAACCGGGTGTTTGTCTACCACTGTGACTGCAGCAATAGGGAGAATGTCTATGAACAGGCAGACAAGGTAAGATCTGCATTTTTGCTTCTTTTTAATAGAATATCCTATTGAGTTTATTACTGTTTTAGAAACCATAGTATTCCCTAGAGGAAAGTAATCATGTTTTTCAATGTCTTTCTCCTTTTGAATAGTTCCCAGATGGAACTTAAACTGTGGTTGCAACAAAGTAACTGGTTTAATCAGTTTTGTTGAGATTTATCTGTTTCTATTCTTCATTGCGAGATGGGAATGTTTAGATTAAGAGTATGGTAAAACATGCAGCAGGGATTATCTCCATATATTAACCTATTTAAGCTTTCTAATTCCTTTCAGATATCAATAAATAATTTTTAAAGAAAAGAACAATCAGTGGATATTGTAAAAGGAGGATTCTTTCCTTTGCCTATTTGTTTAGGAAACTGTATTTCTTTTAAGGGTAATTTGGGATATAATGTTTTCAGACGTCATTAGGATGTGGCTGGTCTCCAGTCAAATTGATGATTCAGCTTCAGTTCCTTTTTTCATCAATACAGGTGGAAAATAAAGTAAAGAAGAGCTCAATTTTCAATGAAACTCTTCTGCTGTGCTGACCTACGCTTTGTAAACTATTACCTTATTATTGTCAGAGTTCAGAAACTGGACATTGAATTAACATGATTCATTTTTACTGTTCCTTAAACTGCCTGGAAATGCTTCTCAGTGTAACTTCATTTAAAATTCAGTTAGCCACTCTGCAACTTCATCCAAGTGTAAACTTCTGTTAAATTCTCAATGTATATGCTTATATACATGACTCTTATGTCCCATCTTTGATGTTCTGTGCCTGAAGGCATACATCAGAGAAATTAGCTAAATTATTTTATGATGTGAATGTTGATAGATTGTTTCAGAATAGACTTAAAATATAACATACGAGTCTTGGATGGCAAGGTGAGGACATGGGGGGGCTAAATTCTTTGTTTTGTGCTTGTTGTTTTTAATTTTAACCAAATCAGATTGAGTCTTTCTGAGCACAGTTATGAAAGTTTGAAACACCTTTTTTCCTCAAGAAACATTCTTGAGGAAAAGTACTTCTAAAAGGTAAGTTGGATTCAGGATCTGTAAGTATCTGGAACTGCAATTCTCATGCTTGCAAGTCAGAAATGGTTTCTTTTACCCATACTCATAACTGGCATGTGGGCCACAGATCACTCACACTGTAAAGAAAAAAAACCTAACGTTTTGAAATTATTTGTTTGCTCTTACTTTAGCAGAATCTCAAAAGGTTCGTTTTGTGCCCCCCAGTAATTTTCGATCTCCAAACACATTAAGCAAATCAGCCACAGGACTCCAGCCTGTGGAATTTGTTGTGCTCAAATCAGCAAACACTATTCTGAAGTGCACACACTGACCTGCCAACAGAAACTTAAAGAACAGTTCAAATTTTAAAAGTTGCTGTTAAGGTGTCAAATTATTGTTAACAACACCAACATATTGACAGATATCTGCATGTATTGTTCAGTCCTGCTGGAGACAGAAATATTCTTAGTAAAGAGTTTTTCAACTGCAGCCCTCCTCTCCTCTTGGAAATACCTGCAAATTTTTTGATTGGTAATATGAAAAGTCTTGATCTTGGATACAAGAAGAGAAAGCAATAGCAAGAAATTTAAATTAATTGGTATTTTCCCATAATGTAAGTTTTGTTTCTAGGAAAAAAAAGAGACCATTGAAGTCTCTAAAGAAGAGGTTTTGGAACAAACTGGTCAAGTGAACAACAACCAATTTTCAGGAACAAGAGGTGTCCACCTGGGAATTCTGAAGGAAATCAGACATGGATCTCTGGGCTAGAAATGCAGAATGTGTCTTTTGCTATAACAGATGATCAAGGAACAAAGCATAGCAAATATGCCAGTCTTAAAGGGCACTTGAGAGGACGCAAACACACTATGAACCTGTCTTACAAAAAACTAGTAGAAATTATGTTAACAGCAGAATTAACAGACACCTAAAAAATACATCATGTAGAATAATCAGCTTGACTTTTTCTAAATGGAAGCCAAGCTTCACACATATTTTTGTAGTAGTGAGTAAACAGGACAACCGATGGCATGGTAAATAGAATGCTGCTGTTGGTGAAGATATGTTGTCATGTTAAGAAAAAGAGGATCATCATATGGGTCTGACTAAAAGAGTGGGGGAAAAGTACAGATGTTTTCCTTGAAGGAAGAATTGAGTATTCCTGCCATACTGAACAGTGTCTAGGTTTGCATTAATTTATGCAGGTGGAAAGGGGTAAGTATCTGAGCCCTACGTGTCAATGAGAAGGTCTAAACCTGACATAGCTGGAGAAATATCAAATGAATCTCCACTGAATGCTAAGGTTCCTGAGAAAGCCAAAGGAAGGTCAGATGTTGGGACCAGATCCAATCACCTGTTTCCAAATTGCCAGACAGCAGCACATGAATTTTAACGTTTTTGTAGCCATAATATAATTTTTGAGATCTCAGATAATCATCTATCTTTAGCAGAGAAATCTGTGAGACTGATTCTTCATACTACAAGTAAATCTTGGTCATTTGCTTAGATATAAATTCAAACCATGGCACAAAATCTTTTGAAAACAAACCCAAATGGAACTAATGATGATTTTATCTATCTATTTTATGATAGATGCCATTGTGCTCAGAGGATTAGTAACCCCCAGTTATCTGAGCTGAATTCTTTCCACTTCAGTAGAAATTATATAGAAAATGGGTTGAGCAAGCTTGGTACAGGATTGCGGGTTCTCACAATTCCAAAAATAGTGGATTGGAAACATTCAGATTGCAGTCAAATGCTCACAGTACACACTAAAGCTTCATAACGTTTTACCTTTGGTTTTCGTGGAAGCCAAAAGTATTCTGGAGTTCAGGAAGCAATTAGGCAAATGTGGGAAAAGGGGCAGGGTGAAGAATCACTGGGATATATTAAAAACAATGATATAGCTATCTTATACCTCTCAAAATATCCTGAGTTGCAACATGTGAAAAGTTGAGCAGACAGGAGACCTTAGAGCCTGGATCCCTTTTTTTATTGCTTTCCACCATGAGACAAGGGTTGGGGGGCTTAGATGGACCTTTGATCTGATGCAGTACAACAGTTCTTGCATATTTATGTTTTCATACATATCAATTATTGCAAATATTGCTAAACATTTTCTTAAATGAAGTACAAGAGGCAAGGATACCTTCTAAAGCTTTCTGTTTATCTTTTTTTCTTTTATTCAGGTTAGAAAAGAAGTTGGGGATGTTACTATTCTAATCAATAATGCTGGCAAAATGATTGGGAAAAAGTTCTGTGAACTTACAGATGAAGATTTTGAAAATACCCTCAAAACCAACTTCTTTTCTCAAGTCTGGGTAAAGTTTTTGTGAGTTTTTTACTCCTAAGTGACCAAAAGGTACAGACAAGTATTTTGGTGTTAAAACCACAATTGTGGCATCTACCTTAAAAACTCAGCTCGGAATAGGGATGTGAAGGACCTTGATTGGGGAATATATGTTTTCATGACCATCCTGTAACTGGAGACAGTCTCCCCAGAATGTCTCAGTAATGTTAACACAAACCTACCTGGGCACTCTGGTAAATCAAAGTTTGTGCAGCTGTACCATGAAACACGCCCTACCTGTAACAGCTGAGGTTGAAGGCAGTGCTGACATGACGGCAAGTGACTTCCCTGCTCCTGATGGCTTTGCCTAAGAGACTTGCAGCATTCCTGGAGACACAACCATGGTTTACTGGCAGTCTTAGCAGTGTTACATTTAGAGGTGGACTCAGTGATTTGAAAGGTCTCTTCCAGCCTAAATGATTCCCTGATTTTATGCTGCACATGTTGGTCTTCAGGCTATGCTTTCATTCCCAGTCACCATCTGATTGAAGTACATAGAAAACTAATCTAGCTAGTAAGAATTTGGTTTGATTTTTTTACCTCTGAAGGAATTTGCAGTTATTTGAGGTCTCAGTAGATTTAGGAGGGCTTTTTTGTGAGAGAGTGTTACTATTGCCCCCTCTTGCACTTTTTGTTTATATGCCTGAGTGAACAGCCTGCATCGGGGAACAATACAGCATTGCAACTCCTTTGTTAAAAGGCAGTTCTCAACTGAAAATCATTGCAGATAGAAGTTCTCTAAGTACTCCCCAGCCACACTGCACCATTCTTCCAAATACTTGGGGAAAATGGACTGGAAGAGGCGTTCCCCCTGACAAGTCTGAAGAAACCCAGGGCAGGAGGAAAATGATGTACTAGGCACTCACATCTGGAGTCTAATAGGATTCCTCAGCTACTGAAAAAAAATTGTTACTGCTCTTGTCTCTTTTTCTTCTCTCCCCCTTTGTCAAACATTAGCATTCTTCCCAGTGAGTATCATCTACAGTGGTGTCCTGGATTGCTGGAATTGTCAGGCAGTTCAGCTTGTAACAAAAAGGGCTCACAGACAGCTGAGCTCTCCTTAATATGTTGACTTCTAGCTCCCTCTTGTGTACCAAACCTTTGGCGATAGACAAATTGCGAGGAACCAGGAAAGCAGAGAAAATACAATATACAATATTGCTGCTTTTAATAAGATGACTTTAACGCTGCTAGATCTTCAGACAGAGGGCAGTTATTCAAGGAAATGTTGTCTCTCATTTAAAAAATATTACAGAGATAAAATGTTTGGGCTTCTTGTGTGTTGAAGATCCAGAAAGCAAGTCAGGTTGTATCACCAGATTTTGGAATGAAACATTTTTCTTATGCCTATTTATAAAGGGGATTTTAAAATTATTATATTTGTATTCTTTTAGACTCTCAAGGCCTTTCTTCCAGCCATGGTGGCCTGTAACCGTGGGCACCTGGTTAGCACAGCCAGTGCACCTGGATTAATAGGACAATACAGAGGATCAGGTAATTATTACCAACTGCCATTACAAATTAGATCTACATACTAATCACTTTTCTTGGTCACCTCACAAATGCTTGGCTTTAGCAGCCTGCACTGACAAGAAGCTGTGGGTGCCAAAGGTGATGGTGTCCTGGAGTGAGATGGTGTCGCCTGCCTGAGTGGAGCACTCTGCAGATTTTACTGTCTGGTCACTGACTGTCTTTTCTCCACATAAGGAGGACAATTCAGCTTGTACACGTGCAGTGGGAGGGAGCCCTGCATACAGGTTGTCTAATACTTTCTCATGACAGCTTTTCTACAGGTGAATGTTCACAGACCTGAGACACACAAGGATTATACCTGGAACTACATATTCAGCTGGAATATGGTTTTTCGAGTGCAGAAAGCAGCATTTTCAATAAAATTAATTTGAATTAATTGTGGTTTAAGCTATTAAAAGCTCAATATTCTCAGATGTTTCCCTCAGGAGAGCAGTCTGCTAGTCTAGACTATTTCATCAGTCTAGGTCTGCTGCCCAGTCTCTCCTCAAGCCTCTCTTTGATGTTGATTATATCTCTCAGGTCACCCTATGAGAACTTGAACTTTAGTGTACTAAGGATCTCTTGTTTCTTCTCCTGATTCATGGTGTTACAATAGTGTTTATTTGCTACCTGTTACCTAAGGGTTACCTTGATATATTATCAATATTTGGTATTGGTAATATAAGTCACATTCAACTTTCAACTGTAAGGTTCATGGGAGTGGGCCTATGAGTTTTGATTATCTGCAAGGATGGGGTTCCATACATTCATCAAACAATAAAAATCAGATGAGTTTCAGTCTTCCTGGGCAAACAAAATGGTATTGCAGTTGTAGGACAAATCAAAAGTAATAGGCTGAAGCAGCATTTATAAGCAGAGTGTTTTTATTTTACCATTAGAAATAGTTATTTCTGAAATGTAACCTGTGATATCAAAAGTTGGAGACATTCTGAACTGAAAGAATGCCTGGTTGGTATATGAGTATTTGAAAAATTGAAGAAAATGCTGAATAAGCTCATTTGCCTATATCTTTCTATAGTGCACTGAAAAAAACCTCCTCTGAAAAGAATTCATTTTATCCTTTAGGCAACTGTGCATTATTCATGGGAAGAGCCATTAATCTCCAGAGTTAGGATCACCAATATGCTTCAAATACTAATTGCAAGACTGTCAATGATAGAACTAAATAATATTGTGGCTTACATAGTATTACAAATAATTCAGTTCTGTATATACCTTTTACTGTGATGTTTTTAAAATTTTGGCTATTTCTCCTTTCTTCACTTTCTAGATTATTGTGCAAGTAAGAGTGCAATCATTGGAATGATGGAAGCCATAAATTCAGAACTGTATCATGGAGGAAAACGTGGCATTAAAACCACAATCATTTGCCCTTATTTTATTAGTACTAGGTTAAGCAGAGGCTTCAAAAGCAGGTAAGTAAAGCTTAGATTTATACTATTTCATATGTAAAAAACAATTGCCACTCACCGGGTATATCATAATCAGTTTTTGCTTGGTTGATTTGATTTTCAATTCAGTATTTTTGCCCTATTGGCACAGACAACTAGATTTTTGACATAAAGAAATGCAAGTCTTGCATGCAATCAATTACAAAAACTGTGTCATAACCTCACAGTCAAGGAACAGTTGGGGATACACAGCAGTATTTAAGGGTTAAAGGAACCTTATTTGTCAGGAGAGTGCTGATGTTCTCTGCCCCAAGTAATTTTGGCAGTGTAATTATGGTTATGGCTTTCAGGATACCAATGACCAGTCTTTATTAACTGTGCCCTGCTGCCTGTACAGGCAGGTACTGTACTTCTGAGTGAGAACACCTGTGGTGATGGTATCTGGAGATGTTGTAAGCACTGAAAGAGCCATTGCAGGAGTGCAGTAGCAGTGATCTTGGTCTTTCAGTGCTCTGCTCCTTCTTGCACCATTCATCATCGTGCAGCAGTGTATGTATGCAGAGCAGAGCCCTTCTCCTGGCTGGTGACAAAGATGGTCCTGTTCTATTTGGCTGTCACCTCAGCATTTACAGCAGAAAAGGACTGCTGGAGAGCAATGATGCATAGAACAGTGCATAGTACAGCTAAGTTTGGAAGTTTCCAAAGCAGCAGTCAGTGTGGGCATCAACTTCATTGTGGTCAGCTTACAAAAAAAAGTCATTAAATTCACATCATGGGAATGTTTGCAATTTATTTTGATGATAGCACAAAGTTTGGAGATTCCCTTTTAAGACAACTTGAAGGGAAGGTGGGAAATGCATAAATTATTTAATTATGTATGTGCGTGTGTTTATCTTGAAAGTAAAGTTTTATAATTTCATAACCCCTTTTTCTTGTTTTACAGAAAACCCTGTTTACTTCCTGTTTATGATCCAGAGTATGCAGCCAGCAGGATCGTGGATGCAATTAAAAAGGAAAAATTTTATCTGATCATGCCTCCAGCTGTACACTTACTTGGACTCAAAATGTAAGCATGTGACTTGTCTTCTAGCATTACCTTCTTTGCCTCACCATATGCCTGTAAAATCAGCAGGAAAGTTTAGTCAAAACAGTCCTTTAGTTAATATTCCTGCAGCCAATCCAGTTATATGTACCCAATTTTAAAGAAACAGATAGTTTGATATTTTAATAATCTAGGTGAATAACATTCCTCTGGCCCCTTCTGTCTCTAAGAAATATTTTGAGCTGCAGTTGGGTATAGAAACTTCAAAAATTTTCCTGAGATGGTGCACTGGGAGTAATGCCTGGTCTAGCACTGTCTGCTTCCAGTCCCTGCCACCACAGCAGGCTGGGCTTTCACAAAATGTCTTTGGTCTGTCATTCGTTTTCCCGATTTATAACATTGAAGTGCCAAATGTGTTACTGCCAGATGTTAGAAGTATTGAGCACATATAATTTATTTGTCTTTTTTTTTTTATTTATAGAGTACCTTTTTTGAAAAAAAAAATAGGCTAATTCAGTGTTTGTCTCATCAGTTTCCTTCCTAGAAAAGTAGTGCTATTCCTCGAGTCTTATATTAAGTTCCCTGAGAGCATGGAAGAAGCTTTTGGTCAGAAGAAAAAGGATTGAAACATAAAGTATTCTGAAGACCTCAAGTGCCATTTAATTGAACATTTTCAGTAAAATATATTTTTAAATCATATTTATTCCTTGACAAAAAAATTTACTTCTTTTATGCTATTTTATATTGGTGAGCATGACATTCAATTCCTCACAACTGTCTTTATACTTGGCAATTTTCTGATAAACTTTTGAAAAACCACTACAATTTAAAATTAATTTGGTATTACATCGAGTGACCAAGCAACAGCTTTGCATGGACTGTACTGTTTTCAGACTGAAACTTCGATGAGGTATTCTGTTAGTGTGGAACACAATTCTGTTATAAATCATGGGATAATGAAGACAGGAGGAGTACCTCATATATTCTTGGAAAATTACAGGCAAAATATCTCCATGTATTTGGAGAGAAGTCACATCCATGTTCTTCAACTGTCTTGAAATGAAATTACAACCTAAAGGTCCTAAAGAACAAAAAAAATTCCCCAATAGCAGAAGTCTGGAGATTAGTTACACAAAATATGTGCTGGTATTTAATCGATAAAAATCAATCCTCATGTAAATTTTCAGAAAATGCTAATATAAAATGTTCATAATTTAGAAACAAATAAATAAACTGCATATCAGAATAGTGAATCTACAAAGCCTAGTTTATAAAACCCTAAGGAATTACAGAGAGCCTTTAACAGTCATCTATTGACCACATTTGCCATCATAATTCAATTGTACTTAACTAAACTCATACTTACAAGCTCCCAGACACAAATAGTAATAAGAGTACACCCTATTGAAATCCTTATGTTTCCAAAGCATGCACACATTCAATAAATTCTTTCATGTACCAGTAGATACTACAGGGAAACTTTTCTCTGAGAGAAGGAAGAAGCTATCTGAAGTTTGGCTCTTCACTCTTGCTGTCTTTGGAAAGCAAGGTTTATTGATTTATATTGCTTAAAACTCTCTAGTACCCTATTTTCTAAGCTATATTTCACCTATTCTGCACAGCCACCCTGCAAAACCTAATTCTGTATTGCAGCAACCTCAACCAAGGGCTCATTTGGCTCCATATTCTATTCAGGATAATCTGCTTGTCTCAAGAAGGAATTTGTAAAGCTTAAACTTTCTAAGTCTCACAGTGATCTGTTAGATCTTCTTATCAGTCCTAGAAATCAGTAACTCACTCTTTTGCCTGAAAATACCAGGAAAATAGTTTCAGGCTTTGGGGTTGGTTGTTGGTGGTGGTGTTTAGCGGGGAGTAGTTTCTCTTTTTCATACAGAAGTATGATAGATCCATTAATACAATTCATAAACTGTAAGCCAAAACCTTCCTATTAAAGCTCAGAAGATGCATTTGAATGGTGTTCCTGTTTTTCTAATAGAAAATTACCTTCGTATTTTGAAATATAGTGTTCCACTTAAGAAGTATCTCAGAGTTATCAACAACTCCTGAGTAGTGTGTCCTGCCTTTCTTTGATGCTTTCATCTTATTTTTAATTCCTCCATGACAAAACTCTTCTTACAGGAGAAATTCTGTTACTACAGGAGCTGCAAATGAGACTGGAATACAGTTTATCTTAAATTTTCTCTTTTTTTCTCACTCCTTTTTCTCTGCAAAACTGATGAAGAAAGGCCTGTGTTGCTGTACAAGTAGTGACATAATCTGTGATGCAATTTCTTGCTCTTGTTTTATGCCCATTGGTACAGCATAACTCTTCAGAGCACATTTTTCATATAAAGGAAATTGTAGTATTGAGTGTCTCAGGAAGAATATTAATTCAAATTATAAGCCTTTTGAGAAAGAAACATTAGAAATATTCTGGGTCACTTTGTAATCTAAATCTTTGAATAAACCTTAGAGGCGATGATATGCAACTTTTATTTCTCATTAATTTCATTCTTCTACATTACTTAGTTCCTCTTTTACTTCAGAATTTAATGTTTCCACCCAAATTTATTATGTGTTCCCTATAAGTCATTATTACAGTTTTTCATAGATGCTCAAGTTCTTAATTTATATACCTAAGCATGTAACAAAAGCCCAGAGACACTGAGATGGAACTCACAGCAAATCACAGAAACTGGACTTTCCCAGAAATTCTGATATCCTGTTCTGCTTTATCACCTGAATTGCCATTGCCCCATTAAATTTGAAAATATTCCCGTAAAAACCTCTCTCTTTCTAAAAGCCTGATCACCCTCTATTATTTTAGAAGGATGGCTTTTATAGAAGACACTCTAGGACTACTCAAAGCTAATTTGAGGCTAGTTTAATAAACTTAAATGAAAAACGTATTTCCAAATCCTGCAATATTTGAAGTGTTTTTCATGAGTAACTCGTATTGTGTCAGCTTCTCTCTGGAAAGATGTTTAGTTCACAGTTCCCACAGGTTATGGGACAATTGTGGAGAGACGGATTTGACACTGGAAGTCAGGAAATTCCCTGTTTCTCTGTCACTACCTTTGTCTTTGACCTAACTTATACTCTGGGAAACATAACAAATAGTGAAAGCTGCATAAACTATGTATAAGTGTACTGTCTCTGTCTTTCATATTTACCTGTCCTGTGAAAAGGAGGCTTCATGTTTATACAATTTTTCATGGAAACTAGAAAAAGAATTTTCATCTCTTTACTTTTACACTTAGAGAAATGTTATTACTTTCTATATTGCCTGATGATTTTCAATATTTCATATAATTTCATGAGGAAATATCTGAATCAATCCAAAGACCCCAGTTATTAACAGATCAAAATTCTACATTGATTACTATTATGGATTTTTCTAGTTTCTTTCTGTAATCAATACAATGCCTCTGTTCAATACTTCAGATTCTTCAGGATGCTACAGACTGCTAACAAAGAATGACTTTAATTTTAAAAAGAATTAACGCAGCTCTAATTGCCTTCTCCCATTGCACAGAACTGTTGCTGAGGCCAAATAAATGGTCAGGTGGCCTTCCACTTCATTAACTAATCCCAGCTGGCAGCAGTGCCTGAGGTGGCACATTTACAGAGTCACCAGGCGTTGCTCAATGCTTTCATCAACCCCACGCTTCCCAGGTGCTCATCGACCCAGTGCACTGTGTTGGTGGAAGGGGCGTTCTAGCAGTTGCTCTGTTGCTTCCTCCATAGCTTCTTCTTCAGAAATGTCGTCAACAAATGAAGCATTAATAGTTCCAATATCCATTTTGAGCGCATTTACTCACTTACAGATACTTTCTATTCTGCAACTGTATGGGCTGGCCTCAAGAGTCTGTGGTGTTGCCTGTCTGCCTGGGATGATATGCTAGGAGGTAACAGGAAATAAGGAATTAGATACTCCTACAGAACAGGAAAAGAAGCCAGAGAGTGTGATAGTCCAGAAAAGATCTTTGAAAGTTACTTAGAGTGTGGCAGTAAATAAATGAAAAGTAGGAAAGCAGGCTAGACGTGATGTCAATTTGTTGTCTAAAGCCCTTGATTACCTATTGTTTGGATTTCCCTGAAAGCTGAAGGAATATCAGTGCCCTGACTGCTAAACTGGCAAACCTGAGAGTCCTCATACAAATTTAGAGAAGACCTGTGATTCTAAAAATGTCTTCAAAAGCAGGAGATGAGAGACCACACTGTGGGACCATGCAGGAATGGAAATTAGAAGGAAATTGCTCCTCTTCAATATTTAAGAATATAATGCAATGTTGCATAGGACTCTGCTTGCCTTACATCTGTTTACCACCTGGTAAACTGGTGGTGTTTATTTAATATACATAATTCTTTAATATATAATTTCATGGAAGCTGATTTCCTGTTTTGCAAAGGTTTTACAATGACTTTCTAATCAATTATTTCCTTCCATTTGCACTTTTACAATCTGCTTTCCAAGGAAGGACCTTACTTTTACACAAAAGTCAGAAGCCACTGCAATAACTAAAGCAAGAATCAGAAAAATAAATGCCACTTCTTTTATATAAGGAACAAATGTTTTATAAATCAGCAGATACAACACACAGAATTCCTACATAAGGAACAACCTCCATAATTTGAGAATCATGTCAGAATGGAAAACTTACATTATTTCAACCACACATAATAGCAACTAATGCATTGTTGGGATAAATTCTCATCACACGTGCTCTGTAAATGAAAGGTGTTTCCATCTTGGAGATGGCATAATATCTAGTGACAATGATAACAACTAGTTTTAGTGGTTTCCACCACATGCAAAATACCTTTAAAATAACTCCTTCAATACTATTGCAACACAGATGCATTCAGGTACTTCTTAACATAACCTGATAAAATATCTAAAAGGGAAGTGCAGAAGGCTGCCATTAGTAGAATTTGATAATACTTGCAGCATTGCGATGCTCTTGTACTATTAATAGGAAACATCATCTTTCTGGGGAAATATGAAAAAGAAGCATTTAACATTAGGTGGTACTGCATGCAACAAAGAGGTTATACATGCTTAATTCTTGAGTGCACAAGTCTTGTTTTTGTCCTAGTATTTTTATATTTCCAGCTTTTTACTTCTGGTTTCTTTGCTTTCTTGCTAGAAAATTATCCTTAGTATTTCCCATATGCAGCTTTAAAATTGTCTCTGAGACAGTTCAGTCACTGGTAATCTTCTTTGAAGCTTTTGTATCAGTCTTATCACAAAAGCACACAAAATCACTAGGTTGGAAGAGACTTTCAAGATCATTGAGTCCAACCCATGCCCTAACACCTCAACTAAACCATGGCACTGAGTGCCACATCCAGTCTTTTTCTAAACACATCCAGGGATGGTGACTCCACCAGATCTCCAGGCAGACGATTCCAGTACTTTATTACTCTTTCCGTAAGAAACATTTTCCAAATATCCAATCTATATTTCCCTTGGCACAGCTTGAGACTGTGTCCTCTTGCTCTGTCAGTTGCTGCCTGGAGAAAGAGACCAACCCCAACCTGACTACAAACACCTTTCAGGAGGTTGTAGAGAGTGATGAGGTCACCTCTGAGTCTCCTTTTCTCCAGGCTGAACAACCCCAGCTCCCTCAGTCGTTCCTCACAGGGTTTGTGTTCCAAGCCCCTCTCCAGCCTTGTTGCCTCCTCTGGATGTGCTCAGTCATCTCAAGGTCCTTCCTAAACTGAGGGGCCAGAACTGGACACAGCACTCAGGGTGTGACCTCACCAGTGCTGAGTACAGGGGGAGAATGACCTCCCTGCTCCTGCTGGCCACACTATTCCTGATACAGGCCAGGGGCCATTGGCCTTCTTGGCCATCAGGGCACACTGCTGGCTCATGTTCAGCTGGCTGAACAGCACCCCCAGGTCCCTTTCTGCCTGGGCACTGTCCAGCCACACCGTCCCCAGCCTATAACGCTGCAGGGGGTTATTGTGGCCAAAATGCAGGACTCAGCACTTGAATTTATTAAACTTCATCTCATTGGACTCTGCACATCCATCCAAATGTTCCAGGTCTCTCTGCAGAGCCCTCCTCCCAGCAGATCAACACACGCTCCCAGCTTAGTGTCATCTGCAAATTTACTAATGAAAGACCCAATACCCTCATCCAGATCATCAATAAAAATATTGAACAGGACTGGTCCCAGCACAGACCCCTGAGGGACACCACTGGTGCCTGGTCCCC